CCCTTCGTGTATTGATCTGGCTCCTAACCCCAATTCCATCGCTTTACACTTACTGGTGTTGAAATCTAGCAACCGTTTCTCGGACCAGTTCTGAAGCTTGTCTTAGTCATCCTGGAGTACATTACAATCCTCGTCTGTCTCAACCCTCTTCATTAGCTGTGCATCATCTGCAAACATTGACATAAAAGACTCAACTCATGCAGTCAAGTCATTTACATAAATGAGGAATAGTATGGGACCCAGCACCGTTCCTTGAGGCACCCCGCTTGTTACTCTACGCCAGTCCGACTCCTCGCCCCTCACTGTCTCTCTCTGACACCTGTCTGTTAGGTAATTCCTTACCCATGTTAATGCGTTGCCGCCTACTCCCGCCTGACTCTCAAGTTTGTATAGTAACCTTCTGTGTGATACTTTATCAAACGCTTTTTGGCAGTCCAGAAATATGCAATCTGTCCCAGCTTCTCTGTCTTGCCTTATTCGTTACCTTATCATAAGGCTTTAGGCTTGATTTTCCAGCTCTAAAGCGGTGTTGTTTTGTTGTTTACTTACAAACCTAATTCTTTCTAGATGTGCTACTTGCCTTAACCTTATAATTCTTTCACGTACTTTGCAAGGGAAGTTTGTGAGCGACACTGGTCAGTAGTTAAGTGCCTCTTCTCAATCTCTATTCTTGTTGACTGGGAAGGCAACCACATTTGCCTTCTTCTTGCAGCTCGGCACTTCCTCTTGTGTATGTGACTCATTATAGATTAGTGCTAGAGGTATGCTGAGAGCCTGTGCTGTTTTTTTTTACAATCCATGGTGAGACTTTATCTGGCCCAGTAGCTTTAGTTATATCCAGTGATGCTAGCTGTATTCTTACGTACTCCACTGTTACCTCAATATTTAGTAGTTTCTCATCAGGTGCAGCTTTCTCATCTAGCTCTGGGAGCTGTTCAGGCTCAGTAGTGAACACTACATGGAAGCTGGCATTGCGCTCCTCACAAATTTCTTTATCATTTTCTGTATGCTGGCCTCCCCCTTTTTCGTAACCTGGTCACTTGATCATTCACTGTCATTTTCCTTCTTATATGGCTATGAAGGAGTTTCGGTTGACTCTTTGCTTTGTGGGCAATATCATGTTCATTGTTTCTTTCTGCCAATCTTCTTATGTTTATGCAGTCATTCCTGACCCTGTTGCATCTATTCCAGTTTATTTATGCCCTTTGTCTTCTGTATTTCCTCCACTCCCTCCTGCTCTTTGGTCTTGCTTCCTGACACTGTCTATTGAACCTCGGGTTATTATATTCTCTCTACCATTGCCCTTAATGGTGGTATGGATCTCTCTTCTGCCTCTTTGCACCTCAAGTATACTTGGTCATCATTTCCTGGACCGTCTTCCCTCTAAGTTCCTCCTCCCAATGCACACTTCCCAGATACTCTCTTACTGTCATGTTGTCTTCTTTTGTATAGTCAGCTCTCCCTTCCCTGACTCCTGGTCTTATGGGCACTGTTCTGAGGTCCATCATGTAGTGGAATACCTGGACACAATGGTCACTTGCTCCTAGTGGACACAATGGTCACTTGCTCCTAGTGGACACAATGGTCACTTGCTCCTAGTGGACACAATGGTCACTTGCTCCTAGTGGACACAATGGTCACTTGCTCCTAGTGGACACAATGGTCACTTGCTCCTAGTGGACACAATGGTCACTTGCTCCTAGTGGACACAATGGTCACTTACACCTAGTGGACACAATGGTCACTTGCTCCTAGTGGACACAATGGTCACTTGCTCGTAGTGGACACAATGGTCACTTGCTCCTAGTGGACACAATGGTCACTTGCTCCTAGTGGACACAATGGTCACTTGCTCCTAGTGGACACAATGGTCACTTGCTCCTAGTGGACACAATGGTCACTTGCTCATAGTGGACACAATGGTCACTTGCTCCTAGTGGACACAATGGTCACTTGCTCGTAGTGGACACAATGGTCACTTGCTCCTAGTGGACACAATGGTCACTTGCTCGTAGTGGACACAATGGTCACTTGCTCCTAGTGGAGCAAGTGCCCATGGTGTGTGTTACAAAGTTTTTCCGCTGATGTTTCACAAGCCTTTTTCGCACAATCTTCTCCATCAGTTTGCATGGTATGCAACTTCGGGACACTGGTCTGTCGTTCATTGCCTCCTGTCTATTCCCCTTCTTGTATATCGGGACTATTAGCAGTCTTCCAAATATCTGGCAGTTCCCATTACCAGTGATTTGTTATACACTATGGAGAGTGGCAGGCACAGTACTTCTGCTCCTTCCTTTAGTATCCATGGAAAGATTCCATCTGGGCCTATAGCCTTTGTCACATCCAACTCTAGCAAGAGCTTCCTTACATCCCCGCTGGAAATCTCAAACTCTTCTAGTGGCTTCTGGTTAACTATTTCCCTCTCTTATCTCTGGAACTTCCCCTTACTCTAATGTAAAGACCTTCTGGAATTTCTGATTCAGTTGCTCGCACACTTCCTTGTCGTTTGTAGGGAATCTGTCTGCCCCTACCCTCAATTTCATTACCTGTTCCTTTACAGTTTTTTTCTCCTGGTGTGGTTGTGCAGCAATTAAGGTTGAGTCTTTGCCTTGCTTGCGATGTCATTTTCGTATTGCCCTTCTGCCTCTTTTCTCAGCCTGACATATTCATTCCTGGCACTCTGTTTATCTTTCTCTGCTCTCGAGTTTCCTGTTATTTCTATAGTGTCTCCATGCCCTTTTACTTTGCTGCTTAGCTAGCCTACATCTCTGATTAAACCATGGGTTTCTCATCTGCATTTCGTTGTTTTCCTTTTGGACCGGGACAAACTTGTCTGCTGCCTCCTTACACGTCTGCGTGATGTAGTCCATCATTTCTTGGGCCGTTTTTCCTCTGAGCTCTGTTTCCCATGTTATATCTGTTAGGAATGTCCTTATCTCCTCATAGTTTCCCTTTCGGAATGCCAGCCTTTTGTTTTCAGTACCCCTCCTCGAGTTCCTTAACCCTTCTTCAACCAGATACTCAAACGTCAAGTACACTGTGGTCGCTCATTCCTACCGGGTTCTCGAAACCGATATCCTTTATGTCGGAGTCGTTCAGAGTGAAGACTAGGTCAAGTCTCGCTGGTACATCGTTTCCTCTCATCCATGTGGGTTCCCTGAAATGCTATCTTCTTGAGGTTATCTTGAGATGATTTCTGGGCTTAGCGTCCCTGCGGCCCGGTCCTCGAACAGACCTCCTTTCTGTTACACACCCCCAAGAAGCAGCCCGTAGCAGCTGTCCACTCAGCTGTCAGACCCTTAGACAGCTGCCTAGGGGGCCATACTCTCACAGACAAGAGCACTGTGAGAGTATGCTCTCTAAAGGTTCTCCCACTGCTGACTTTAATGGCTTATTGCAGTTCACAGTGCACAAAGCCTACCTCTTTTACCCCTGGATGGAAACTGTCATTAAGAAGTGTCTGGCTTAAGAAGAACGGCTTGGTTAAGAAGTTTCTTGTCGCCACCTCCAATAGTTTAGCTCTCCATGTATCTTCACCTCCATGCAGTTCCTTGTTCTCCCAGTCTATCCTTCCATGATTGAAGTCCACCATGATGAGCAGATGGGATCTATTTCTACAAGCAGCAGAGGCTGCCCTCTCAATAAGTGCTAACTGTCATGTTGTTGTTGTCATACTCTTGTCTGGGTCTTCTGTCATTGGGTGGAGGGTTATATATCACTGCTACTACTATTCTTGGTCCTCCCATTATCATGGTGCCTATTTTGTAGTCTCTGAATCCCTCACAGCCCGGGATAGCCATCTCCTTGAAACTCCATTCCTTTCTCATTAGTAGGGAAACTTGTGTGTGCTTCTGGAAGTAAGTTTGGAAAGATGTCTATGCATCTGGTTTTCTTCTTTGCCTGCCTTTTGGAATCATATTCTTGCCAAAGTACCTTCAAATGGGAATTTTTCTTCCCATCTACATTACTTTGCCCCTTCTGTAGTTAACTCTATTAGCCACTTGAAAACATTTCTTGTAACTTACTGAAGTTCTCCAGTCTCTTGAAGCCATCCACCATACTTATCCTCATTAGTTTTTTATTAATATGATAGTATATTGGACTTGTACTTATGCTCTGAATATGTACATATGTACAATTGTGTGCTTTCCTCGGCAGCGCTAATGTGTAAGGTGCCATTATGTGTTTGTGCGTGGTCAGCGCTGTTCAGTGCCATCGGCGTCCTCGACGATTTCCAGAAGCTGTGATGGTCTGCTTGAGATGCACTTGCCATGAGAACAATATGTAAATATAGGGGCAAGTACAATATTGCTCAAAAACAGAATATAAATCACTTAAACACACTGAGAATAAATCGATAAAAAGCAAAATAATATACACAAAATAGTGTATCTACCTGATTATTATAGTTCACCCATTTATGTCTCCCCCCCCCCTCCCTCTCGTTTTCTATGAGAGGCGTTATTCATGGGAAGACTTCACAGTTTTTCTACCTGGTAGTTCTTGGGGGCATTTTTTGAGAGTATCTCATGGCCACATTGTTAACTCACAGTGTTGATGCTGACATTTTCAAAGAACAAAATGCTGTCTTACCTAACCCGCACACCTAATCTTTTTAAAGTTCCAGGTGTTGTTATTTCTTAAAATTCCTATGTTACCTCACTTAACCTTTCATACAGTATCCATACAGTATCCATATTTTCAGACCATTTCTACTATAGAGTGAGAAATCAAAATGTGAAGTTGATCTTTGTGAGACTTTTGTAGCCAAGCTGGAAGAAGCAGCAGGGAAGAGGATGGGGAGCACCTCCCTTACACCTCCTGGGGAGAGGGGCAGGGGAGAGTGTAGTCCAGTTACCACACTAAGCTCTTCACTCTGCAGCCCTGAACAAAACTTTTTAAATCAGCAGAGAAATGATTCAATCCTGACTGACGCGCAGAATAAAGCAGTGACGGAGGCAGACCCACAGGCCATGAGTTATTAATATTCTAGTGAGGCCATGAGTTATTACAGCACTAGTGAGGCCATGAGTTATTACAGCACTAGCGAGGCCATGAGTTATTACAGCACTAGTGAGGCCATGAGTTATTACAACACTAGTGAGGCCATGAGTTATTACAGCACTAGTGAGGCCATGAGTTATTACAACACTAGTGAGGCCATGAGTTATTACAGCACTAGCGAGGCCATGAGTTATTACAACACAAGCGAGGCCATGAGTTATTACAACACTAGTGAGGCCATGAGTTATTACAGCACTAGCGAGGCCATGAGTTATTACAACACTAGCGAGGCCATGAGTTATTACAGCACTAGTGAGGCCATGAGTTATTACAACACTAGTGAGGCCATGAGTTATTACAACACTAGTGAGGCCATGAGTTATTACAACACTAGTGAGGCCATGAGTTATTACAACACTAGTGAGGCCATGAGTTATTACAACACTAGTGAGGCCATGAGTTATTACAGCACTAGTGAGGCCATGAGTTATTACAACACTAGTGAGGCCATGAGTTATTACAACACTAGTGAGGCCATGAGTTATTACAACACTAGTGAGGCCATGAGTTATTACAAAACTAGTGAGGCCATGAGTTATTACAGCACTAGTGAGGCCATGAGTTATTACAGCACTAGTGAGGCCATGAGTTATTACAACACTAGTGAGGCCATGAGTTATTACAACACTAGTGAGGCCATGAGTTATTAATATTCTAGTGAGGCCATGAGTTATTACAACACTAGTGAGGCCATGAGTTATTACAGCACTAGTGAGACCATGAGTTATTACAACACTAGTGAGGCCATGAGTTATTACAACACTAGTGAGGCCATGAGTTATTACAGCACTAGTGAGGCCATGAGTTATTACAACACTAGTGAGGCCATGAGTTATTACAGCACTAGTGAGGCCATGAGTTATTACAGCACTAGTGAGGCCATGAGTTATTACAACACTAGTGAGGCCATGAGTTATTACAGCACTAGTGAGGCCATGAGTTATTACAACACTAGTGAGGCCATAGCACTAGTGAGGCCATGAGTTATTACAACACTAGTGAGGCCATGAGTTATTACAGCACTAGTGAGGCCATGAGTTATTACAGCACTAGTGAGGCCATGAGTTATTACAACACTAGCGAGGCCATGAGTTATTACAGCACTAGTGAGGCCATGAGTTATTACAGCACTAGCGAGGCCATGAGTTATTACAGCACTAGTGAGGCCATGAGTTATTACAGCACTAGCGAGGCCATGAGTCATTACAGCACTAGTGAGGCCATGAGTTATTACAGCACTAGTGAGGCCATGAGTTATTACAGCACTAGTGAGGCCTAGGAGCTCACCTGGAGGCCTATGAGCTCACCTGAAGGCCTAGGAGGTCACCTGGAGGCCTAGGAGATCACCTGGAGGCCTAGGAGTTCATCTGGAGGCCTAGGAGTTCATCTGGAGGCCTAGGAGGTCACAAGAAGGCCTAGGAGGTCACCTGGAGACCTAGAAGGTCACCTGTAGGCCTAGGAGCTCACCTTGAGGCCTAGGAGCTCACCTGGAGGCCTAGGAGCTCACCTGGAAGACTAAGAGCTCACCTGGAAGCCTAAGAGCTCACCTGGAGGCCTAGGAGCTCACCCGGATGCCTAGGAGTTCACCTGGGGGCCTAGGAGCTCACCTGGAGGCCTAGGAGCTCACCTGGAAGCCTAAGAGCTCACCTGGAGGCCTAAGAGCTCACTTAGAGGCCTAGGAGCTCACTTGGAGGCCTAGGAGCTCACCTGGATGCCTAGGAGCTCACCTGGAGGCCTAGGAGTTCATCTGGAGGCCTAGAAGCTCACCTGGAGGCCTAGGAGCTCACCTGGATGCCTAGGAGCTCATCTGGAGGCCTAGGAGCTCACCTGGAGGCCTAGGAGCTCACCTGGAGGCCTAGGAGCTCACCTGGCGGCCTTGAAGCTCACCTGGAGGCCTAGGAGCTCACCTGGAGGCCTAGGAGCTCACCTGGAGGCTTAGGAGCTCACCTGGAGGCTTAGGAGCTCACCTGGAGGCCTAGAAGCTCATCTGGAGGCCTAGAATCTCACCTGGAGGTCTAAGAGCTCACCTGGAGGCCTTGGAGCTCACCTGGATGCCTAGGAGCTCACATGGAGGCCTTGAAGCTCACCTGGAGGTCTAGGAGCTCACGTGGAGGCCTAGGAGCTCACCCGGAGGCCTAGAAGCTCACCTGGAGGCCTAGGAGCTCACCTGTATCACACACTTGGGAGGTAGTAAAGCAAGTAGTCCTTCCGAGGGGTTATAAAGCAAATACATCATAAAATAAACAGGTATTTCACTTGGCCTGGGCTGGAGAAAGTGGCCACAAAATACTGCAATGATTGCCCATTTTGTTCTTCCCCGTGTGTTCACATCCAGGCAAACCAAACCAACTCATAACACCATAACACTTACAGCCAACGGAAGTTGCAGAGGAGCTCTTGTCTGGAACACAAGGTGGTAATTTGTATCTCACCAGCCTAATTCATCAGGCTACACGCCCTCCACAACCATCCCCAGTCAGCTATGATACAAGGAAGGAGGTGGGTAATCACAAAAGCCAATTTCACCTCCGTAGGTTTTCAAACAATTCGTATTAACTATACTAACCTTCAGAAAAGATCTCCTCCATATCATAGAGAGAGTTGAGGTGCTGCAGAGAGGACGCAACACTCTCAGACAGACGAGATATGAACATTTTGTACCGGAACTTGAGGGGTGATGCCTTCAGGTGGAGCTCACGCCAGGGAGAGATGTTCTCAGTTATCTCTGCAATGTTCACCAAATGTTCAGTCTTTGGGCCATGAAGAGCGAGCTCCTGCCACCATTTTAGACATAAAATTATGGGAGTCCAAGTGCTGTGAGTCCAAGTGCCGTGAGTCCAAGTGCAGTGAGTCCAAGTGCTGTGAGTCCAAGTGCTGTGAGTCCAAATGCAGTGAATCCAAGTGCTGTGAGTCCAAGTGCTGTGAGTCCAAATGCAGTGAGTCCAAGTGCTGTGAGCCCAAGTGCTGTGAGTCCAAGTGCAGTGAGTCCAAGTGCAGTGAGTCCAAGTGCTGTGAGTCCAAGTGCAGTGAGTCCAAGTGCAGTGAGTCCAAGTGCTGTGAGTCCAAGTGCAGTGTATATACTGCACATATGTGTGCTGTACATATACTGTGTGGACGGTGGAAGTGTACTTTACATATACTGTGTGGACGGTGGAAGTGTACTTTACATATACTGTGTGGACGGTGGAAGTGTACTGTGCATATACTGTGTGGACGGTGGAAGTGTACTGTGCATATACTGTGTGGACGGTGGAAGTGTACTGTGCATATACTGTGTGGACGGTGGAAGTGTACTGTGCATATACTGTGTGGACGGTGGTAGTGTACTGTGCATATACTGTGTGGACGGTGGAAGTGTACTGTACATATACTGTGTGGACGGTGGAAGTGTATTGTACATATACTGTGTGGACGGTGGAAGTGTACTGTACATATACTGTGTGGACGGTGGAAGTGTACTGTACATATACTGTGTGGACGGTGGAAGTGTACTGTACATATACTGTGTGGACGGTGGAAGTGTACTGTACATATACTGTGTGGACGGTGGAAGTGTATTGTACATATACTGTGTGGACGGTGGAAGTGTACTGTACATATACTGTGTGGACGGTGGAAGTGTACTGTACATATACTGTGTGGACGGTGGAAGTGTACTGTACATATACTGTGTGGACGGTGGAAGTGTATTGTACATATACTGTGTGGACGGTGGAAGTGTATTGTACATATACTGTGTGGACGGTGGAAGTGTACTGTACATATACTGTGTGGACGGTGGAAGTGTACTGTACATATACTGTGTGGACGGTGGAAGTGTATTGTACATATACTGTGTGGACGGTGGAAGTGTATTGTACATATACTGTGTGGACGGTGGAAAGTGTACTGTACATATACTGTGTGGACGGTGGAAGTGTACTGTACATATACTGTGTGGACGGTGGAAGTGTACTGTACATATACTGTGTGGACGGTGGAAGTGTACTGTACATATACTGTGTGGACGGTGGAAGTGTACTGTACATATACTGTGTGGACGGTGGAAGTGTACTGTACATATACTGTGTGGACGGTGGAAGTGTACTGTACATATACTGTGTGGACGGTGGAAGTGTACTGTACATATACTGTGTGGACGGTGGAAGTGTACTGTACATATACTGTGTGGAATGTGGAAGTGTACTGTACATATACTGTGTGGACGGTGGAAGTGTACTGTACATATACTGTGTGGACGGTGGAAGTGTACTGTGCATATACTGTGTGGACGGTGGTAGTGTACTGTGCATATACTGTGTGGACGGTGGAAGTGTACTGTGCATATACTGTGTGGACGGTGGAAGTGTACTGTGCATATACTGTGTGGACGGTGGTAGTGTACTGTACATATACTGTGTGGACGGTGGAAGTGTACTGTACATATACTGTGTGGACGGTGGAAGTGTACTGTACATATACTGTGTGGACGGTGGAAGTGTACTGTACATATACTGTGTGGACGGTGGAAGTGTACTGTACATATACTGTGTGGACGGTGGAAGTGTACTGTACATATACTGTGTGGACGGTGGAAGTGTACTGTACATATACTGTGTGGACGGTGGAAGTGTACTGTACATATACTGTGTGGACGGTGGAAGTGTACTGTACATATACTGTGTGGACGGTGGAAGTGTACTGTACATATACTGTGTGGACGGTGGAAGTGTACTGTACATATACTGTGTGGACGGTGGAAGTGTACTGTACATATACTGTGTGGACGGTGGAAGTGTACTGTACATATACTGTGTGGACGGTGGAAGTGTACTGTACATATACTGTGTGGACGGTGGAAGTGTACTGTACATATACTGTGTGGACGGTGGAAGTGTACTGTACATATACTGTGTGGACGGTGGAAGTGTACTGTACATATACTGTGTGGACGGTGGAAGTGTACTGTACATATACTGTGTGGACGGTGGAAGTGTACTGTACATATACTGTGTGGACGGTGGAAGTGTACTGTACATATACTGTGTGGACGGTGGAAGTGTACTGTACATATACTGTGTGGACGGTGGAAGTGTACTGTACATATACTGTGTGGACGGTGGAAGTGTACTGTACATATACTGTGTGGACGGTGGAAGTGTGTACATATACTGTGTGGACGGTGGAAGTGTACTGTACATATACTGTGTGGACGGTGGAAGTGTACTGTACATATACTGTGTGGACGGTGGAAGTGTACTGTACATATACTGTGTGTACTGACTGGTGGACGGGAAGTGTACTGTACATATACTGTGTGGACGGTGGAAGTGTACTGTACATATACTGTGTGGACGGTGGAAGTGTACTGTACATATACTGTGTGGACGGTGGAAGTGTACTGTACATATACTGTGTGGACGGTGGAAGTGTACTGTACATATACTGTGTGGACGGTGGAAGTGTACTGTACATATACTGTGTGGACGGTGGAAGTGTACTGTACATATACTGTGTGGACGGTGGAAGTGGAAGTGTACTGTACATATACTGTGTGGACTGTGTGGGTGGAAGTGTACTGTACATATACTGTGTGGACGGTGGAAGTGTACTGTACATATACTGTGTGGACGGTGGAAGTGTACTGTGCATATACTGTGTGGACGGTGGA